CACCATGGGGCCGGCCCTTCCCCCCTGCTTTTTTAAAATAGTAGTGTTTATGTTTGAACCTCTTGCAGCCATTTCTTGGAAACTAACATGTCAGTGTTTTTTTTTTACTTGTATTTGTAAAAATGTGACTGTGGGTTCTTCCTTAAGAGTTCTAATGTATGATGATTTCTATTTTATATGTACAGAGAAACATGAATTTCAACAAATTATATTTAAAGTACTTTATTCCTATTAAAACTGTAGGTGTTGTTATTAAAATGTTGGGGAGGTTCTTACTTGCCTTAAATTTAGTCAGTGTTTATAGAAAAGTAGATGAGAAGAAATGTGTCCAATGTCTGATGTCTGCCTGAAGTTCTTTGGGGAGACCAGTTTTTTTTTTTGGCTTGGCACCTGAGCCAACAACTGTTGCCGATCTTCCCTTTTTTCTTTTTTCTTTTTATTCTTCTCCCCAGAGTCCCCCAGCCCACAGTTGTAGATTCTAGTTGTGGGTGTCTCTAGTTGTGCAATGTGGGACACCGCCCCAGCATGACCTGGCGAGTGGTGCCATGTCCTTGTCCAGGATCCGAACTGGTGAAACCCTGGGCTGTGGAAGTGGAGCACGTGAACCCAACTACTCAGCCACGGGGCCGGCCCCTTGAGAGAACGGTTTTTTGTTTTTTTTTTTTTTTTAAAAGATTGGCACCTGAGCTAACAACTATTGCCAATCTTTTTTTTTTCTTTTTTCTTTTCTGCTTTTTCTCCCCAAATCCCCCCAGTACACAGTTGTATATATTTAGTTGTGGGTCCTTCTAGTTGTGGTGTGTGGGACGCCACCTCAACGTGTCCTGATGAGCAGTGCCATGTCCGTGCCCAGGATCCTAACCAGCGAAACCTTGGGCCATTGAAGTGGAGCGCTCGAACTTAACCACTTGGCCACAGTGCTGTCCCGAGAGAACAGTTTTAAAGAAAACATTCTGTAATAAATCTACCTACTATCATCTGTGCTTTTCCAGGTTCAGATCTGACTTCAGCCTAATTATATGAACATTTGGCCTTAAATATAACTTCATGACAGTGATAGGTGTATGGCATTATGTATTTTATATGGGCTAACAATTCTGTATATAATTTCATTGATTCTGTATATAACTTCATTGTTTTAGGGTTATGAGAGAATTTACAATGAAATTCCGGATATTAATCTGGATGTCCCACATTCATACTCTGTGCTTGAACGATTTGTAGAAGAATGTTTTCAGGCTGGAATAATTTCCAAACAACTCAGAGATCTTTGTCCTTCAAGGTACTTTACTTTTTCAACATAAAATACTGGCTGAGATGCTGAAGTTAGTTTTCTATCATTCTAATCTGTGGGAAAAAAAATAATGGTATCTTCCCTGAAGTCACTCAAGAGCAAAAATCATCTATTTTAAGTTTATGAAGAAACAAGGCGAAGTTTATTTTGCCCTCTTGTAAATCTATACAGGACTACCTCATGAAGCCCCAGTTCACTAGAAGGAAACTAATTTTGTGGAGCAGTTCTGTGTACTAGGCTTTGTTCTGAGTAGTGTAAATAACCGTTTCAGAGCCGATATTATCACCAATAAGATGAGAAAATTGAGGCTAGGGAGGTGTAAAGTCCTTTTTCTAAGGTCACACACGGTAGAGGCCAAGGATGTCTGACTTCCAGGATCTAGGCTTATTCCTGTCCTCTACGAAGCTCCCTTTTGCTCCTTTATAGACTGGACAGTTGGGGGCTAATTGGATCTTATCACACTAGAAAGTGTGTGTGTGATTCTTTGGAGGTGTTATATTTGTGCTACCAGGGTTGCTTTAGGAGTTGATGAATTTTTTGTTAAAGCTTATAAGGAAGCTTATAATGTAATAGGTATAAAAGTTTATAGCTAAACTTTTATAGTTAATAGCTAAACTTCTTGTGTGGGTCTGTTGTATGTACATTTTAAGTTTTTGTAATTTTTATCTGAAAAATTTTATAAGCTTTGTATATTTTTATTTAAGTGCATTATGAGAATTAAATCTCAGAAAAATACTTCCTGGTAGTATCCTTTGCTCTAGGAAGTTTAGAAGCCATTAAGAGAGAAGGAAAAAATAATGGTGGAAGATACAGTTTAATGGCCTTGATAAAAATGTTTGAAAATGTAGATCTCTACTTGGCACCATTTGTGTACTGATGTGCCAAGTGGTATACATTAGTAGAAACTCAACTTTGGCCAAGGCTTCTTGCTGTTTACTGCTTTGTTCCCCTCCTTGGTCACCTAATATAGTCTGAAGCCTTTATGTTTAGGAAAAGTAGCTGGTTTCCACTTAGTATGAAAGGGGGTCAACACCTTGGCATTGGCTTTTTAAAAGTTTTCCAATCTGTGTTCAAAAGTCTAACGGTTATCTCTGTTGTGGCTTTACTCGCAAGGATGATTTGAGGAGATATCTAACTTTCTCTGTATACCATAGAACTATGACTTTTTGTCCTTTATCCTTTTGCTTATTTGAGTGAAGTGTGCATTTGTTTGTGGTCTTGAAGGCCTGTGTATGTTGGTCTGGGGTCACAAAATAAGACCTAATTCTGCCCAACTCTGTTTTCCACTTACTGTTTTAGGCTGCTGTGGTCAACTATTCCTCCTGGGCTGTTGCTACTACATGTAGCTAGTGTGGTTACATTGTAGAGCAAGGCCTCTTGAGTTTGAAATAGCAGGAATCCCAGAATGGGGCACAGACTGGAATTAATTGGATTCTGATTTGTTTCTCCACATTCGGGTTATGGCTTTTTTATATCTGAGAAAACATTTTTAAAAAATTTTAAACATGAATATTTTGATAGGTTCTATAGCTCTAGTTTGCATAATTCCACATCACGTTGTTGTTTCTTATTTGGTTCACTGTTTAGCTTTCAAATAATACTAACAATGCAGTAGAAATAAATACTGTTTCTAAATAGCAGAATGTTTGCTGTATTTATATTTTAAGTTTTTTTGTGCCTCCATTTGTATGATGAATTTATTTCAATAATAAAGCTTTTATTTAAATAAAAACTGCTCAGATTAGCAGTTCATTTGATATATCTCAGGATATATAGCAGGGAAAGTCTTTTTCAAAAGAATTAGAAGCATGCTGACTTTTTTTAAACAATAAAACCCCTCCGAAATTAATGAGTAACCAAAAAATACCAAGTTTTAAGGTTTTTTAATTGACCGTAGTCAGAATTTGTATCTATTTTCATGTTTGTGTTCTTTTCGTTACAGGGGCAGAAAACGTTTTGTAAGTGAAGGAGATGGAGGTCGTCTTAAACCAGAGAGCTACTGAATAAAAGAACTCTTGCAGTTTTAGATGTTATAAAAAATATATATCTGAATTGTAAGAGTTGTTAGCACAGGTTTTTTTTTTTTGTTTTTTTTTAAGCACTTGTTTTGGGTACAAGGCATTTCTGAAATTTTATAAACTTACGTTTAAGGGGAATTTTTAAAGGAAGTGTTTTTTCTTTTTTTTGAGGGTATAAAGGAGGGACAGAAAAGTAACCACTTCTTAAGTGGAATATTCTCATAAGCTACCTTTTGTAAGTGCCATGTTTATGACTTAATCATTCCAAGTTTTGCATTGATGTCTGACTGCCACTCCTTTCTTTCAAGGACAGTGTTTTTGTAGTAAAATCACTGGTTTATACAAAGCTTTATTTAGGGGGTAAAGTTAAGCTGCTAAAACCCCATGTTGGCTGCTGCTGTTGAAATACTGTGCTTTGGGAGTAAAAAAAAAAGTTATTTCTTTGTCTTAAAGAATTTTAAGAAAACGAGTTAGTCACAAGACTTATTCATCTTTCCAGGGAGCATACTGATTGGTCTTAAAGACTAGACAGTTAAGTAAATGGTGGCCGGAACATCTATTTTTCTACAAAACTGGAAAAATGAACCCAGTTCTAGAAGAATGTATGACAAAATAAAACATGTGAAGCGGTGTTGATTCTTTATTGAGAGTACATTTATTTTAGGTCTTTGAAAAAACTTATTTCACACAGCAAATTTTAAATCATAAGGGAGCATATTTGAACCTAGTGAATTTAAACTTTGTTCCTCGCAAACTTTTAAATCAAAAGTACAGTAGTAAATAAACCTTTTAATATTATACTTGGGAAATGCATGCATTCTTCCTTTTTTATTTTATCTAGTGCTTAATGAAATTTCTAAAATATATATAATGCCTTTCATCATTCTTAAGTTCTATTACTGAATGTTTGTGTTATAAAAAATTATTCTCCAAAGACTCAGTTTTACATTTACCCAATGTCTGATAAAATAGTAGCTACCAATAAATAATTATCTAAAGAATGATCATATTGCTAACCTCTTTTGCAGAGCCTAATTACTCAGCAAGGCCTCAATGTCTATGCTAATTTAAATTGTCTATTGTTGACTGCAGCAAACCAACCAAAAACTATATTCAGAAGTTACCAAGGTATTCTTAGGAATGTACCTATTACAGGTTTAGGTGCAGTATTTTAGAACTAAACCTCCAGATTTAATGTTCATATTGACCTCTTGGGATCTATCAAATCCATTATTACTTTCCATTTTTAGAGTTTTAACTGTGTTTTGCTACCTAGATGAGAAAGTAGCCAGGTAATTCTTAAGTCCTTAAAATCAGTATAATTAAAAGCTCAGGGGACTACTGGACAGGTGAGGGTTTCTTAAGAATTTAAGAAATACAGTTTTGTCATTACAGGTAGGATCAGGTGGTCAGGCAAGATAGCCTTAAACATGACATGACATATGATTCATAAAAAAAGTTCTAAAGTTAGGTAATTTAAAAGCCCAGCATTAACACTTTATGCAAGATTAGAACATATCTTCAAATTGTTTTTTAATAAACATGTAAAGATTCTCTGAATATAAAAAGTTGCATTTAGTCACTTGTGCCTAAGAATGTTACCTATAAAACCGATAGTAGTAGGAACGGTGAAAAATAATTTAATTTGCAATTCTAAAATCTTGGGTTAAAAAACAACACCCATAAAATTTGGGTTCAAAAGTTTTTTAATAGCTTATGTTCACTACAAAACAAAGTGGTTAAATTCATAACAAGTTTCATTAGTGAGTTATATAACATACATCATTCAGTGAGTTATCTGCCGTTCCTTTTCTGCCATTTCTTGTTGGCGAATCGTATCCTGTGCTGCTTGCTGCATTTTCTCCAGTTTTTCCAGAGTCAGAGACTTTAAGGGTAAAAGTTTGGGTTTACACAGCACCATCGTGGTTATATCTTCCACAGACAACTGCCCTAAGTTTAAGAAGAAATAAGAATTTGAGTGAGATAACCCAGATGCTTGGTGGTTTGGATTTGCAGCTAGAATGAAGGTCTAAAGACTTAATCCACTGTCTGTGAAGATCTCTTGTTCTCATAGTTAGCCTACAACATTTCTTCAATATAAAAAAATATAAAAGCAACATTTAATACTAGGGAGTTCATGAGGAAGACCAGTTTTGAATTTTCTACCTAAGATTCTAAGCTCTCATGAGAGAGAGAACTTTTTGTGACAAAGGTTTAATTTGAAAAAAGACTTGGGAGAAATACATACGGCATAAAAATACTTATGTAGTAAAGTATGGTATTAATATGAATATTCAAATTAATGTTTAACTTAAACTTTCAGCTTTTTTTTTTAACTATTGCTTGATTTCAGACCTTATTTAATATTATGGTGAATTACAGTGCTATTTTTTCATTGAAAATTTCATATTGTAACCTGCAGTCTTGAGTATAACAAGATTTCTAGGTTTAAGAAACAGTGCTTCATTTGCCATCCTTTTACTGGAAAAAAAAAAAAAAAGATGGATTACTCTTACAACCTACTCATGAAAGCAGCATAGTAAAAACAGTAATTGTGGCATATAGAACACAAAATAGTTTCAGATGTTTAGCTATTGAGCATGCTATGTGACACTGCCTATTACTTTTTAGATCCCTGTAATGTTCTATGACCTAAGTATTTGTGATTTAGATACCTTGTTTTGGGAGAACTTCCCGGAACATTGACTTCACTTCCGCCATATCTGAATTGTTGGATACGGTTTTTTCCTTCAATGAAAAGTCAGTTATTAATATTATTCAAGAATGAATTCCCAAAGCATATTGCTTGAGACATTTCCATTGTTTAACTTAAGTAGTAAAATCACAGTTCCTATAGAAAATGAACGACCCCTATCCTTGCATAATTTTCCCACTAATTTCCTGCTGGTCTTTTCATAGAAACATGGTTGATATAAGCATCTAGATCTTGTCAACGTTCGTTAATCAAGGTGGTGTTAATTGGAAGGCTGTGTGTTCTAAACTTTTTCCCCTCCCAGTGAAAAATTGGTAGGGCTTCAGAGAAAGACATTTATGTGCAGCCATCTTGGTTCACTGACAGCATCTCCTGGGAATGTGGGTAATGTAAAAAATATGACCATTTGGAAGATGGGGTAAGGCAGCTAATTACGGAGAGGAGGAGGTAGTAAGTAAACATTTCCACTTTTTCAGTAGCTAACAGCTGGTTTCCACTTTAATCCCTTTTCTATAAAGACAAAAAGCATCCTAAGAATCAGTTACTGACTACACAGCTGCAATTTGTAAGGAAACAACAGTCAAAGTTCACTCTTGAAGAACAGAAGTGAGGTATGCTTTCAGTTTACTATTTTCCTCTAACACAGAGACACTATATGCTAAAGTGCCAGCAAATAACATCATATGACTATTTTGTTATGACTATCTCAGCATATATGCCATCTCTGGCTGATGACATTTGTTCCCAGTGTGTGTTAGTGCCAGATTACTATTGCTATGCTATATATGCAAGGTGTTCTGGACTGTAATTTGTAGCATGATCCTTTTCTAAACACAGATACTTCTCCAGACAGTCCCACCCATTTTGTGATATTTCGCCATACTGATGCAACCTTACCATGTGGCTTTCACATCACCACCACCACAGAAGAAAGGTTTATTATTTATAAAGTGGTGATGCTGGCTTGGTGCCTGTCCTTACTGCCCACTGCAAATTAGTTATTAGTGCAGCTGCTTCTAGTCTTAGTTATTCCTACTCTACTACTACTTTGACATTACTAATAAAAGCTTCCTACTCTCCATCCACCAAGCTTTTTCCCCTCTGTAGGTAAAATTCCTATACTAGGTCAAATTCCTATTCTGGAACTTCTAAAGTTCCTGAGGAATCTCTGTCTCCTAGAACTTTGTCATCAAAATTTACCCCTACACTGCTCTGAGAGTGAGGATAAAGTAGGAAATGGACCAGGAATAAAACAACTAACTCATCACTAACTGGAATCTGAGACAAATGCAATATGCAATTTCCTTAGAATGCACAACTTCTGTCACATTCTCTCCTTCTTTTTACTTAGGCCTGCTAGTGGTACCTAGTAATCATTTCCTTTTTTTTTCCCCAGGTTATGTTGAAGGCTAACAACATCCCTAATCCCTAATTAGCCTGAATATAGCCATAAGAACACAGCCTCTCCGTTAAAGATATCACAATGAAAATATTCAGTAGGCCCTTACTTGGTGCAAATCTGACATGATATGCTACTGAAAGGGAGGATAGACATTACAGATGTTGATAATGGAAATAATAGCAGCTAAGAGTTTTTATATCATCAAATTTTTTATCACCAAAATGCTAAAATGGTGGGTGAACAAATCTTAAACCTTAGCTGTCTTATAGAGTAGCAACTTCAGCTACTTAGAATTCAGTCACTGTCCTTTGCTTTCTCTTGTCTATTTCTCTTTCACATCCAAAATCTGCCTTGAGGAAAACAATGAAACTTGGTGCTCTACCAAACCTTAGTTCTCTGACTAAGCTGCCATTGTTACTGGAAAGGGTGTGGGGCAAAGGCCTGGTAGGGAGTGGGTTGGGCCTGGTGTGGGGAAGATTGGTGTGCTGTCACTTGCCTGGGTGGGGTGTCAGCTTTTCTAGGGTTGGTTCTTATTCCTAGGCCCCCCTAGGCGTTGGCAGGAGAGAAACAGGAAGGGAAGGGCTAAAATAAGCAAGGTGGTGGTTGGATGGCCTGCAATGGCAAGGCTACATTGTCTTGATAATCAACTGTCCAGGGAGTCCAGAGTAGGAAGGAGCATTTATTTCCTTATCCATGTGGCCTGCTGATAGCCAAACACGATGGGTGTTTTGTTTGGTGTCATGTGCCATAAGGAGCAGTGGCTGCTCCTAAGGGTACTTTCTTACTGGTAAGGTAAGAGGTGTGTAACACCAGGGACATAAGGAGAAGCTTACCAGCTCTGGCTGAAATTTGTGTGTATCATACAAGTGCCACATCATTCAATTCAATAAATACATGAATGTCTACCATGTACCAGGCACTGTTCATTAGTCAAAAAAACAGACAAAAACAAAACCTTTGCCCTTTTGGAGCTTACAGTCTAGAGTAAGGGGAGAGAAACAAATAATAGAATGCTAGAAAGTTGTAAGTGCTAACAGAAAATAAAATAGCTTAAGGGGATTTAGGAGTGCTGGGAAGGTGGGTATTGCAATTTAAATAGGAAGATAATTATGGCCTCATTAAGAAGGTAAAAATCATTGTGGTCTCATTGTGGTGTGTGTGTTATGTCTTTTGAAATTGCAGAAAAGTCAAAAGCCTGACAGCATTCACAGTTAGGGAAGGTGTAGGAAATGGGCACTCTCTGTTGGTGGGTAGGTTTGTTGGCACAGTTTTTTAAGAGGAATATTTTGTAGTACCTATTTATATTTTGTAGAATCTACTAAAGCTAAATATGCACATTTTCTTTGACCCAAATATTCCACGTCTAGTAATGAGCCCTAAAGAAACAAAGCACAAGTGTATAAAGATGTAAGGATAAAAATGTTCATTTTAAAGCATTGCAATGAATAGCAAAATGTTTAGCAATAGGTGAATCTAAATGTTCAGCAATATGTCAAGGGTTGAATAAATTATGAAACAGCCATACAATAGAATACTATGCCAGATTTTAAAATAATATAAGGCATAGTTTAAGAGAAAACATATTAAAATTGCAGAAGTAAAATAAAATTCTTACACTAATAGAACCCAAACTTTTAATACTTAGAGAATGCAATGTCAATCATTTTTCGAAGCTCTTGGTCTGGGTAACTGGAAAATAATCTGCTGCTTCCTTTTCCACCATAGTTTCTTTAGTCTGTAATTTCTCCCAGAAATAATGATTTTGATGGATAGTGCATTTGAAAGTTATGACAAAGTAAGCAAACCTGTTGTAGCCATTTGAGCTGGATGACTAAAATTAATGCAGAAGAACTTGGAGGGAAACCAAATCTTTGCCATGAAATATTTTACTAAGCTGTAGGAGTGAGAGTGGAAAGACACTCAATTCTAAGAAGGACTACTTTGAATCATTCATATACATGCTTATAATATAAGTTAATCATACAGCTTGGACAAGTTAAAAATCACTGGGGTGATTTTGTTTGATAACTAAAATACTTATGGGTGTGGGACTAGACAAGAGCACAAGCATCCTTCTGAATATATGTCAGTGGCCCTCAAATTTTATGCCTGCATAACCCCTAAAGAGATTTTGAAAAACTAGGTACCCCTTTGCACATTTCTAAATTGACACATAAATTTGTTATGCTTAAACAGTTATAAAGGATATAATTTCCAGCATATTTAAAAGTATTATATCAGTCTTTTAAAAATAATCAGATATAATCTAAGTATCATAGCAATTTGATAGCTACCATCATGCATTAATAAAAAAAATGAACTCGGGGGCTAGCCCCGTGGCTGAGTGGTTAAGTTTGCACGCTCTGCTTCAGCGGCTCAGGGTTTCGCTGGTTCAAATCCTGGGCGCAGAGATGGCACCCCTCATCAGGCCATGCCGAGGCGGCATCCCACATGCCACAACTAGAAGGACCCACAACTAAAAAACACACAACTATGTACTGGGGGGCTTTGGGAGAAAAAGGAGAAAAAAAAATCTTAAAAAAAAAAACCTCTTTTTTTAAGTCAGAAATTTCACATCTTTTTTCTCCCTAGACCTCTATTTTCCACTCCACTTAATTTTATTCTAATGTAATACATTTTCATGCTTGAAAATACTTTAATGATTATCTTACATACTTCTCTGCTACAAAAATGTTTATAAATTTAAGTGGAAAACTTTAAAATATTCTGGATTGAGTTATTACAATTATTAGTGAAAAAGGATCAAAACAAATTACATGTTGATAAAATAATTACTGAATATAAAAAATAAAGTTAATGGCTATGTACCTGTTAATAAGTACAGAGAAATTGGTAGTAAATACCAGACAGTAAAGACTGGAGTAGAAAAGGATGCTCTTTTTGGTGACAACGGAATTATTCTTTCAGAATGGAAAATAAATGTAACATAAGAAGAGGAATTTGGGATAATATGTACCTATCTAAACAGATTTTTTCTTTCAACAAACATATTAAATGCCTCTAACGTGCAAGCAACAGCTAAATGAGGGAGATACAGTGGGTAAGAACCAGTTCCTCTCCTTGAGGAATTTGAGGGAGATGAGATGGGGAGAGAGATGCATGTAAATAAATAATTACAGTTGACTACAACATACTTTAATAAGAGCATATCTACTGTGCCTTTAAGAGACCACAACCATGAATAACTTGGCTCAGGATAGGTGACAGTGGCTGATCTCTGAAGAATTACTAAATATGACATTGGAACTAGTCCCAGAAGGATGAATGGGGGTTTACTACACAGAGGAGTGGCTGTGTAGCAAGGGGAGAATGTTCTAGACAAAGTGAACAATATATTCAAAGAAAGCAGCATGAAAAAAAAAAAAAAGCCTGGGAATAGCTAGAGTACGGGGTACACACCTTGTACGTACTGTGGTGGGACTGACTAGGTGGAGGCCAGTTCATGCTCAGCCTTGAATGCCATGCCTCTGAGTTTGGACTTTATATCCTATAGAGAGGAGGGAGCTAACTGGATGGCTCTGAGTGGGTATGTGATACATGATTTGTTTTTTGGAAACATATTCTAGACAAAAAGGAAAAACGAGACACTAAAGACAAAATTAGTAAGGAAGC